GGGGGGGGGTTACAAGTGTGGTGGGGAAAGTGAAGAGAGAAAGGAGTCATTATATGGGATGGGTAATGATGAGGATTAATGGGCAATTGATGGAAAATAATGGTGGATGAATGTGGGGAGAGGAATTGCGTGTGAAAGAGTCAAGTGGGGAATTAATTCCCTAAATTCTACTCCGTTATGTAAAATCTGACCTGAACAGTATGTGGTGTTTCCCCTAAACGAGTCCGAATTGAGATCCGTTTACGTTTCTGGAATCAGACAGTCAAAACGAATTTAATGACATGTTCAATAATTTTTCTGAGGACTTTTATTTTGAAACTTCCGGATCCATCCCAATCATTAATTAATTTATTTACTTAATTAATGTCAAGAGACCCGTTATTAAAACATCTTTTTATAATTAAAATACAGTAGCTTTGGAAATCATTGAACGGATCGAAATCTCATTATTTATTAATTTAAAATAATGAGTTTCAATAAATAAATAATATTTATTTATTCAAAACTAGGCCGGTTTGAGGGCGTTACAGCATTTTAGAAAAATTTAAAGGCAAAAGTAGTGAATTGGACATCACTACAATTCGAGTAATTGAGTCATATTCTATAAACCATGATGAAATATGGGATATTGACCGTTATAGGCTTTGGCATGATCGATTGGGCCATCCTGGCCGTGGTATGATGATCTGTATCTTAAAAAATTCTCACGATCATCCATTCTTTCGTAGCAAGGACAAAATAAGGAAAAATCCTAGCACAATGTATAGTGTTGGGTCTCATCTTGCCCAAAGAAGAAGAATGACTTTTAACGTAACAGAAGAATCATTCACGTCTCATCTTTCCCCATTAGGTTGTCAAAGGCTCAAAAATCTTTTTATAAAGCCTGCTCCTTAGAAAAAATAGGATCGAAACCTTCCTATGCTAGAGACTCAAAAGAAAATATACAATTCCTATAACGAATGCAAGGAGATATATGTGGGCCTATCCAACCAGAAAGCGGTCCATTTAGGTACTTTATGGTTCTTGTTGATGCATTGGCACGTTGGTCACATGTCACATTATTATCAACAAGAAATGCTGTATTTGCGAAACTCTTGGCACAAATTATTCGTTTGAGGGCTCACCACCCAATCAAGTCTATAAGACTTGATAATGTCATAGAGTTTACTTCGAAGAACTTCGATGACTATTGCATGGCTATTGGGATCGATGTAGAGCATCATGTACCCCATGTACATACACAAAATGGTCTCGCAAAAGGGAAGATTAAAAGATTACAAATGGTAGCTTGGGCTTTGCTTATATGCACAAATTTGCCAATCTCTGCATGGGGTCATGCAATATTGCATGCATCTTTACTTATTCGTTTTAGACTTACCGATGCAAAACCGTTTTCTGCATACCAGTTGGTGACTGGTTATGATCCTGATATTTCACACTTACGGATATTTGGTTGTGCAGTGTCAGTGCCGATTGCACCCCATAGCGCACTAAAATGGGTCCTCAAAGACGATTAAGTATTTATGTTGGATATGAATCACCAACAATTATTCACTATATTCTACCGTTGGCTGGTGATCTTTTTACTGCGAGATTTGCAGATTGTCACTTTGATGAGATAACATTCCCGTCATTAGGGGGAGATAAGGAAAACAATTTTCCAAAAGAATGACATGAATTATCTTTGTGTGTTCCAACCTTGTCTCATTTTGATCCTCGTACTTCACAATGTGAAAATGAAGTAAAAAAAATAATTGATCTTCAGAACGTGGTAGATTCGATGCCCGATTCATTCAATGATATAGAAAAACTGACAAGATCACACATACCAGCTGCAAATGTACCTGCAAGGTTAGAAGTCCCAAACAAGGGTCACAATGCCATAATGAAAGGCATTGCACCCACACTTAGTGGAAGTGCGGGTGCGGTTGTGGCTCCCCAAAGGAAGAGAGGAAGACCACTTGGTTCGATAGACACTCGCCCAAGAAAGAAAAAGGCATGTATGGTACAAACAAATCCGTTAATCATTGATGTAGAGCATCCATCACATGAGATTATCTGTGGTTATAGCTATGTCCATGAATTATTATTGGAGGACGCTCTGATGATTGATATGATTCAAGAGAAAAAAGAAATCTCAATGGATTATGGAAATGCACATGTGCTAATAGATCGATCTTCAATATACATCGATGATATATTTGCTTATAATGTTGCTTTAGAAATTATAGAGCACGATGATATCGAACCACGCTCTATTGCAGAATGTCAACAAAGAGCAGATTGGCCTAAATGGAAAGAAGCAATCTAGGCAGAACTAGATTCTCTCGCAAAGTGACATGTATTTGGTTCGGTAGTGCTAACCCCTCTAAGTGTAAAGCCTGTAGGACATAAATGAGTATTTGTGAGAATATATATATATATATATATATATATATATATATATATATATATATATATATATATATGAAAGTACCAGACGGTGTTCCCTTACCCAAATCGAATGACTCTAAACTACGGAGTGCATTTGTGATTAGATTAAAACGCTCACTTTATGGATTAAAACAATCCGGTAGGATGTGGTATACTCGCCT